TTCCTCTTGTTGACTCGTCTGTAATTTTTTTAAAATTCAATTCATTTTTTTGGTTTTTTTGTTAGACTTATGGCAAAATGAAGTTTACAAATACAACTGTTCACCTCTAACACCCAAAAATATTTATTAATTCGTACTTCAGTCCTCCATTCTATGCACTTGGCAATTTTTATGCATTTGCGCTGTGTATAACAGCAGCACATAACGCATATTGTCACGCCGTTTTCTGTGTTTGTTCGTGCACATCCGAGTGCATATTGTACCGCAGTTTCAATTCAGGAACTACAAGTTCGGTAAAGCAGAAATTCCGCGCCCACATGCGACCCCGCTAATTTTAATACAGCCTTCACTTGTCCCTGAGCTCTACGTAGGCCTTGTGAAACTAGCGAGATTATTTCGACGACAAAAGCTAGGAAGCTGAAATTTTAAGCAGACGTAGCTGAAATTTACATACGACTTGGAGAATTTAAATTCGGCGTTCACACACACTTAACAACACTACTTAAGCCGAAGCCGTGAAAGTTTTGGTGCGAGAATCACTAACTCGAAGGCCAGAAAATTGGGAATCTGAAATTTTATAAAGATGTTTCCCGACCACGTGCGTTCCAAATGTTTCAAATTTCGCTTTCACGTCGGCTTACGTTTCGTGCACCGACACGTGAAACTCGCAATGGGAAATTTTGCAGATTAAGAACCAGGCAACATAACGAATGTTTTCGCACGCATTAAAGTGTAAGACAGTGCAAATTCTTAGCAGCAAACTTCAGTTGGAACGGAACTGCATAAAAAGCATGATTTGAGCCGCTATTTATTCATTTTGTACAGTTCTACACCACCTTTTTTTGCATGAAAGGGAGGGCGGAAATTGGCCGAGCTGGCAGTTTGCACCGTGAAACCGTGTGGAAATTTTGAACTTTAATACACATGATAGTCATAAATTTTGAACGAAGATGCTGTCAGCAAAAATGCGTTGTCGTGTTCGTTGTATCGGCTTTTGAAACTAATTCTCAAGTTGACACGGTACCGAAGACGAATTTAGACATTGTCAGTATGTGTGTTCGAGGCGTACACGACAGTTGAACTTGAAATCTTTAGCACGTGCATGGACGGATGAATTTCAGCTTTCCACTCTGTCTGTTTCCCGACATCGTTCCCCGCCAAAAATTTAAATGTTTTGCTTTAGGTCTTCGTTGCAAAACGCGGGGCACTCGGACGATACTTTCAGTTTATGAGAATGAAATGTGGAATGAAGGCATGCTCGTAAAATTTCATCTTCTGGGCCCTCCCATTATGGGGATTAATCTAGGTGACAGAGTTCACTCACTTGCACACACACATACACACACCAACAACTTCTTTTTTTATTTGCATAAAACGCTAAAAAGCGCAACAAAATCCGGGAATGACGTTGTTGGCGCAAGAACTAGCCCGCGGCAGCACACAGTTGCTGCTACAGTTCAACGCACGACGAAAATACCGAACTCCTACCAGTGTCAATAATAATTCGTTTATGTTACAATGGGACTCAAGTCTCACGGAGAGACATTTGCATATCATAGGTGGGAACATATGTGCAAGCAACTGAGCCTTAGGCTGGAGCGCACCAGGCTTACCGGTGCGATTATGCGTTTTTGCATATATGCAAATGCAAAAACGCATATTGGCAAGAGGCCGTCTGTGTGTGTGTCTGTATGCTGGCACCTTTTGTCGCCCACATTCAACACGAGAACCAGAAAAGCTGGAGGGTTGAAACTTCGGGAGTATGTAACCACTCTGTGTCGAGCCTGAGCCGCACTAAACTTGATGTAGTTAGGTCGTTAACTGTATGAATGGTTGCTGCTTTTTTTAGTTATGCGTTTTTGCATATATGCAAGTGCAAAAACACATAACTTGGCGACTCGCAGCGTGCGTGCATGTTCGTGTATATGTATTGTGTCTGTCTAACTGTCTATCTATCCGGGTATTTCAACTCGAGGCAAGCTCTGGCGGTAAAATTTTGCCAGCGGATTTCTCGGCCAATCTCACCCCAGGACCGCGTACCAAAGTCCAGCATACGAACAGGTGAAAATTTTGGTAGGAAAACCACTAGCTCAGGAACCAAAAAGCTGAAGGCTGAAATTTTCAGGCGATGTTCATCGCCTACGTGAAACTCAAAGATTTCATATTTGTTCCCCGGTTGTGCATGGTTCTCACGTACGGCCCGCGAAAAATTTGGAAGGGAAAATCGCTTGCTCGGAGACAAAAAAAAGCTGAAAAGACGAAATTATAAGGGGACGTTCCCACATCTTTGGCAGGAAGAATCGCTTACTCTGGAACCAGGAAAGCTGGGAGGGTGAAACTTTAAAATCTTCCCCAGCTCTCGCACAACTTAAAGGCATCAAATTCTATCCCCAGAATTGTGCGGTTCTCATGCATGGATCCATGAAAACATTAAGCAGGAAAATTGCTGACTCGGAAACCAGAAAAGTTGGAAAGCTGAAATTTTAGCGGAATGTTCCCTGTTCAAGTACCACGTAGTTGCTCAATTAACATCCCAAACTTCGAGGAGCAGCATGTCACAATTTCTAGCTACTGGATTTTCGAGAGATCTCTCTACAGCGCGAAATATTGCAAACGCGTGATCGCATGGATTCGCTTGGCGCGCGTCGCCCCCAATGATTAACTATTCCTCTAATAAATCAAGAAAGATTTTGCATAAAGGAGAATGAACTATTTTCGCCGAACAATCGTCCTTTGAAATTGACCTGGCGTTCAGCAATGAACAATTTTTCAGGCTAAAACTTTCGCTTGCTTGTACACGAGAACACGCATACCAGGGGTCCAGTTTGAAATTTTAACTTGCATCTGGATAGGGAATATCCCTTCAAATTTCAGCCTTCCAGCGTTTTGGTTTTCGAATTAACATTTTTTCCACCAAAGCTTTCGTGTTCCCGTACGTAAAGGGCGCGAAAACTTAGCTAAATTGAAATCTTTAAGTCATGTATGGACAGAAAACACCACCTTAAAATTGCGGCGCTTCAGCTTTTCTGGTTCTCTAGTTAGCAGTTAACCAGGCAAAACTTCCAGTGTTCGTACGCGGGTTTGGACGTGAGCAAAGGTTAGTACCGAGATCCTGGGGTGTCATTTAACCGGGAAACTCACTGGTAAAAGTTCTGTGCCAAGCCTTGCCTGGTTGCTAAGTTGAAATACTCGGACAGACATCCCACACACTTACAAAAACATACACAAACAAAAGCATATCATGGATATTTGCCGTATGCGTTTTTGCATTTGTATGCGTGCAAAAACGCATAAGAAAAGCTTGTGCATCCTGCCCGAGCAGCGAAGGAAAAAATATAGCTTTGGTGGTGCAGGTTAAGTCTGAAGAAGCAGAGGATATGCGGGTAAGGGCTGAAGAAGTGGAGAATGTTTTCAACAATATGGGAAAGAAATGAAATTTTAGAGGGAAAAGCATGTTGCTGCACGAAGTTCAGCAACTGTACATAAGGAGTACGCACTGAAGATATTGGTGTTGATAAGTATAAAACACAAAGTATATAGAGGAATTTAAATACATTAGAAAATGATCAGATGAATCAGGAATGCTTCGGTTCTTTAAATCTTATTAATTTCTATTCAGCCAAAAAGCAGCAATATTTGAAATTCCAACATTTCCTTGAGTCAATTTTCTGTTATTCAAGTTTTCTCTGCTTTTCGCATTTTTTTTAACCACTTCGTTTTGTAGAATTGTTAAAATCAACACGGATCTCTAAAAAGAATTTTTTACGGAGCTCTAAGAAATAGAGAAAAAATACGCCCAAATGATTTACTTCCTCACTTCCTCAGCTCATTTCTTGACTGCTTGGCTCACTTTTGAATCCTTTTAACTCAATCTTACATCCACTTGCTCATTTCTGGGTACGCTTGGCACAATTCTGTGCCCCTTGGCTCACTTCTACGTCCCGTTTGCTCGCTGTTGCCGCTGCTTGACTCATTTCTGGGGGCTCTTACTGCGAGGAATTTTGCGTTTTCCTGAACTCCGTTTTTTCACATTTCTCCTCAAACTGGTGCTTTTCAAGCTTTCGGCTAGTGTTTACAGCTAAGGGATGAAACAGGGAGTGCCTTCTAAAACGTCTTCTTACACATGATGAATTGATCCCTTAACTTCTACTCCGTTATTTTCCTCACCCCTCTCTCCTCCCCCTCCCCTAACTTCGTCACCGAAGTAGAAGAGAGGATTCTCTTTCGCTCGCTGATGAAGCTAGCAAAATTTATTTTTTCCAGAATCAGCAAGCCAAAGAATATGCGCGAGGCGAAAGATGCGTGCCTTAAATATGCAAAATCTGAATTTTGCCTCGTCGGCGAGGGAAATTTCTGGATTGGCGTCAATCGATGAGGTAGGCCTTTCTCAGCCGCGACGCCTCCGTGCGTCGGTTCTGCTTAAGCGCGTGTTTTCGTTGCACCGGTCACGTCCGTTCGAAGATGTTTGTCGTTTCCTACGTGTACGTCTACCTCTCCCCTTTTGCCGTTCGGCCCCGTCCCCACCCCGTATTGGCGTACCAAAGGGGAAGGAGGGAGGGCGATCGGTGTTTCGCACCCCCTCTCCCCCCTCCTTCTTCCCCCTGCTGTGTGCCAGTAGGACAGACGAGCGAGCGAGGGGAGGGGGAGGGGAGGGGTAAAGTGTTACAAAACCAGGAACCTGGAACTTTCCCGCTATCCAGCACTTGCAGTGCGAGCCTGCCGAGTCGAGCGGAGGCCCAGGGAAGCTTTTTCCACCAGAAGGCCTGGATCCCATCAGGGCCAGAAGCCTTGCAGGGTTTTATCTGACGCACGGCTGCATCAAAAGGGATGACCGAGGTTGAATTAAGGTGAAAAATCAAAAAGAAAGGTAGGAAATGAGAATTACAAAATTTGTAAAAATCTTCGTTTGATGATATCCCGCGATGTCATTTACTTCCCAAGAATCACTGGACTGCGGTAAACGTCATGTGATTTTTGATGTTTCAGGTAAACGAGGTGCAATGTTCCTAACGCGCAGTGAATACGATCGCGGTGTGAACACATTTTCACCGGAAGGACGACTTTTCCAGGTGGAATATGCTATCGAAGCGGTCAAGGTGCTCCTTTTTTGCCGTCACTGGATTTTCCGGTAGTTCGGATTCTACTGGAGGACTTAAGTGGTGTCGCTGTTTTGATCTAATCGCGCCTGCGAAAAACTAGCATGATTTGAAATAATTGACAGAAACGAGAAATATGCCCAGTAAGCATGAGCCAATCATAGGCGATAGACACAACAGCGTAGCCCGGAATATA